TTTATGCTGACTTTTGTCTGTTGTTGTTGCTGTTGAGCAGGAGTCTTCATCATCTCCTCTGTTTTCTTTATGTCCTCCTGTTTTCCTATCTTTGATGCTTCTTCTATTGCCAACTTCTTGCTTTTCACTTGCATATCTTCCAGTTCGTGGGAAATCTGACGCATATATGATCGGCGATAGATCAGTCAGAAGACTGTGGAAATGAAAATTTGTAGACAGATGATAATAAGCACCGGACTAAGACTAGTAAATTAATCTAGAACTTCTGAGGTTCAACATAAAATAGAAAGCATTCGCCAGGTAGAAAACGGATCGCCTTTCATATCCAATACTTCAGTAATCAGAATAGGGTCACTGACAATCGTCATGCGGGAGAACACTGAAAAGCGTATAGGTGGTATTGAAGAAGACGTGTTTAAGGAGAATGTGTGGCCGGGATAGGCACATTAAAAATCCCTGAGAGTTGCTGAACAGAATGACAGTGAGAGAGAAACATAAACATTTCAAAAATAATCTGAGTATATTACATAACTCATTGAACACACAATGGAGGAGAAGGCCAGCAAAGACAAAAATCGTTGTACGGATTACCTAGTAACAGGGATAAAACTAAGTGAAATGATCTAGCAACACGTTATCCAGTGGCAAGTTCTATATCTGGGCAATGTGTTACACCAAAAGAATTTCATCACGAAAGTTTACTGAACAGGACTCATGATGAAAGAACTAGGCTAAAATATTCCTGAATGTGCTAAAATCTAGAAATTTCTCAGTAATTTCACATACATCCTCAGAACTACCGGTGAACAAGAGAGATCTGAAAAAATGAGAAACCTTGAAAATAAGAATCTTCAATGGCACATGTTGTTACGCATAGTTTATTGAAGGATAATTTTCCGGTGTGGTGATTCAAACCAAGTCTTACACAAACGATATATTTTGAAACGATGTGAAGAAGAGAGCTGAGATAATATTAACATTTTCATGAACTTTGTTAAGATGCGTTCTTCTCTCATACGAATTGCGATGAAACTCTCAGAAGAAATTACCACAAATCTGAAATAGGCAGTGAATTACATAGTGAATTACTTATTCTATCTATTTTTCAAAGATTATTGTTGATTCAGTATTTACTTCAACTCCAGGGATACACTGAACAAAAATTTTCGTTGAACATCAGTTGATTGACGTTTGTTTTTCAATTTTGTTAAGTACTTTCAACATCAGTGAGCTATTAGCCTTCAGTTGACAGTGTTGTTTACAGATTAGCAAATTACTGCTTAGATAAATATTATTCATAATGCAGTAAACAGTGATTTGTTTTCACGAAATATACACGTCATACAGTGTCATGTGGTTAGGCTATCAAAAGTATAAATACTCCTTGCAACTGCAGTAGATCATCGTTTGCAATCATGAAGATTTCAATTGTTCTGCTGTTCTGCATTGCTTTCTTGGTCGTGAGCCCTGCTAACGGTAAGTCCCATATGTGAAGTTTTAGTGTTTATGCTCTTTAATATTTGCTGATTAAATGTGGTTAGGCACAGTAGGAGGAGCACGAAAGAGAGGTCGACCGAATAAGAGCTGGCTTGACAACATAAAAGAGTGGACTGAAATGCCCTTGGATACGCTACAGAAAATAGCATTAAACCGAGAAGAATGGCGAAGACTGATAGCGCGAACTGTCATAGCACCCCCACGACGAAAGTCAAGGGACTGATGATGATGATGAAATGTGGTAAACATACTCATTCGTGTTTTTCATGTTCACTGATGTTTCGTTGTTGCTGGGAACAGTTTCAAACAAAATTAGGTTCTTCAATTGCCTGAGTGCAGTGTTGAGTTAAACTCATTTCCAGTCTTTACTAAATATATAAGCACACTGCTGCTTCAATCTAGTCATGTCATCATAGAGTCTAGATGGATTCTGACAATTAACCTTAAAATAGAGTTAGAATTAATTGGTTGTCTTAGCGTAGGGTGGTGCTAAAGGCCTCTAATTCTTTTTAAATAACTCTCTTCACTATTCACTATCACCTCCTAAATATGTTGTGACTTTCTAAAACTCAGAAAATTCGCGAACAGTGCGAAACTACTTATAAGTAGTTCATGGAGAATAGCTTTAATTCTTAAAAGTGTACAACCTTAATGTGTTTGACTGAGAGTAGTGTCACTCGATTAACTTTAAGCTAAAGTTTGCATTACTGACATCGAGCATAGTCATGTTCACCAACACATCAAACACCTCTATTTAGGTTTACACTTCATCATGAAGTGTTCATTAGTCCTCTTAGCACATCTCCACCTGAAGTGCACTAACCGTTAAAAATAAAAATAATTTTCTGAATTCCACCCAGGTGCGAGCGGTGATTAATATTACTAATTCACATGTTTATCCGCGAAATGAAACCCAAATACCTGGTTGTCATAAGGCATATCCCTGAGGTAATACAATTAACAAAGTGAAATCACAATAAGATAAGACAATTCTAGCAGATATGTACATTCGAAAATGTCTCATTGAGATTCAAAGTTGCAAAACGTTTATGAAGCATAGCTATTTCGATACTGTGGATTCTCACACAAAGACTGCTTCATCAGTGTCACTAATGTAGAAATAAAGTCAAAGTTCATACCAAGAAAAGATGAGGCATTCAGCATTGAGTTGGTGTCAGTTAAAATAGAATTTACACGATATGGTCTACCCTATCTCTAAAAAATTAAAATGATTTTCACATGGCATGCGAAGCTATCAAAACGTTTTGTGGTCGTAAAGTGTTTAGTATATTGAGAAGATCTTAAATATCCCAGCAACAGTATGTACTATATCTCATGCAAGTATTGTATAAAGTAATCGAATGTGTTTGTCAAATATTCATCAAGATATCTTAACTATTTGTAATTTGAAAATCATTAATTTACAATGACCAGGTTTTCATGGTAAGTTGTATAACAGTTCATATATATATATATTTATATATCTTTGCAATAACTAATAGTAATTGAGGAAAACAAAATAGGGCTTTTGTTGACAAAAGTAGCCTAACGGGTGAGAAATTATCTTAAGACCTAAAACTCGAAGGGAAACGTCTTGCTTTTATTAGACAAATTGTGTCAAATTTTGGAAACCTGACACCAAAACGATTCTGTTAGAATAAATGTCGTGGTTATGTAGCATATGAGAAGACGTTCTGGAATCTATGACATAGAATATTTTTCATGGCTGATAAATTATATGTAATATTTATATATCCTCAACACAGAATTAAGTTATTTCATGCCACCATCTTGGGATCAGAAGTCGATGCTGTATGAATTCATGCTTGCTTATATATATTCAGTAATGAAGAGCCTTTAGTAATGTCAATGGAACACATATTGTTCAAGATAACTTAGTTAAACAGTTCTGTTATTTCTCAGTTATCATTTGACATGTATCTGCTAACGTCAAACCAGGGTTTGTAGAACACTGATCCTACCAAAATAATGTTTCTAATTTCTTCAAATATGCTCACTTTCTGAGAATGGTAATCGTCACTTTCATGCTTATACCTTAGCATTTATCTGGAAGGATATTTCTCATGAATGTTGAGGAATAAGTGTGACGTCACTTCGTATTAAGAAATTACTACTGTTCCGAACAAATTCTTACAATGAATTTAATGTTGCCCTTCATCTTAACTATTCAAGTAGATTTGAATGAGGTTCCTTGCTTAATATTGGACATTTAATCAAGTCCCAATATCTTCAATGTTGTCCACATTTTCAATGCGTAATGTAAACCTAGTTGTAAATGATTTGACGGCTAAATCAGAAAACTGACCTAGAAAACCAACCATTAAAAATTCATTTACTATCCAAATAGAGTTAAGGTTCTGGGGCAATTAGAAAAGATGATAAAAATATATTACCGGGAAGCTAATCACATAAAGGCACGTGATGAGGAAAAACTGCTTCCGACAACAAACGACTTGAAAAAACCCTGCTCACACCAGCATAATCAACGCACAATCCTTGAAATGCCTAAACTCCCTGTACTCATTCTTCTATTCTAGGTACAATCGGAGGTCACGGTCATGACGGAAAAGGTAAGCCATCAAAAGCACTACTTTTCATTGCATTTACTCCAATTCGAAAAACATTGAGCAGAACAGTGTAGGGTTCAGTAGTAAACAGTGTATAAACATATTTGCAGCAAACCTGTCTCGTCACAACTCATGTCTGTTCAGCCGATCCAATCTAATTGAGTTTCCATTTAAACGACGGGCTTCATCAATAGCCACGTTTACTGAGTAGCACTGAGGAGAAACCTAGTGGTAATTAGTTTCACCAGGAGCCTTCACAAGCTCACCGCCTACGTACAAGCACCTGAGATTCATGCTCATGTGAATTGGTATATTCCCAATGAAGTTATTCAGCTACTTAGAAGAGCGTCTTCGCACCCCTTCTCAGGCACAGCATTCTCCGCTCAAGAAGATTCAATCAGCAATCACAAATGCACATGTCACAGCAAGGGGAATAAACGTTCCTCACTTTGTCGTGTGATATGCCTACAGGTGAACGACTTATTCCTTCAGGGACCCTCATTCGCACCAACACAGCATGGTTACTCCAAGTTATTTGTGTTCGGAATGCAAGTTTACCGTGGGATCGGTGTGTGCAACTTCATTGAGAGTATTCTGTACAGAGAGTGAATATCTTTATCGAATACTGTCTCGAGAATATTCCTTGGAAGTGTTTCAACAGATTGATTGACAACCTGGAATTCGACAAATTCCACTTGATTGTCAGATGCAAACAGAGTGGAAATATACCACTGATCACGCAGTCAAAATAACCACATTACCTGCCCATGCATCGACTCATTATCAGGATAAACTACGAAGAAAACTGTTTCCGACAACACACGACATGAACACACTCTGTGCCGATGAGCATATCCACCTCAGTATCCCTGAAACGCCTAAACTCCCTGTACTCATTCTTCTATTCTAGGTTTAATGGGAGAACGGGATGATGACGAAGCAGGTAAGTCAACAAAAGCACTACTTTTCATTGTATTTACTCCAATTCGAAAAACATTGAGCAGATTAGTGTACGGTTCAGCAGTAAACAGTGTATAAACATATTTGCAGCAAACCTGTCTCGTCACAACTCATGTCTGTTCAGCCGATCCAATCTAATTGAGTTTCCATTTAAACGACGGGCTTCATCAATAGCCACGTTTACTGAGTAGCACTGAGGAGAAACCTAGTGGTAATTAGTTTCACCAGGAGCCTTCACAAGCTCACCGCCTACGTACAAGCACCTGAGATTCATGCTCATGTGAACTGGTATATTCCCATTGAAGTTATTCAGCTACTTAGAAGACCGTCTTCGCACCCCTTCTCAGGCACAGCATTCTCCGCTCAAGAAGATTCAATCAGCAATCACAAATGCACATGTCACAGCAAGGGGAATAAACGTTCCTCACTTTGTCGTGTGATATGCCTACAAGTGAGCGACTTATTCCTTCAGGGACCCTCATTCGCACCAACACAGCATGGTTACTCCAAGTTATTTGTATTCAGAATGCAATTTCTCACAGCATACGACAAAGAAACCCTTCATCGAACAACATACTACTTATAAACACTCTGTTCACACCAGCATAATCAACGCACAATCCTTGAAATGCCTAAACTCACTGTACTCCTTCTTCTATTCTAGGTGAAATCGGAGGTCACGGTCATGACGGAGAAGGTAAGCCATCAAAAGCACTACTTTTCATTGCATTTACTCCAATTCGAAAAACGTTGAGCAGAATAGTGTAGGGTTCAGCAGTAAACAGTGTATAAACATATTTGCAGCAAACCTGTCTCGTCACAACTCATGTCTGTTCAGCCGATCCAATCTAATTGAGTTTCCATTTAAACGACGGGCTTCATCAATAGCCACGTTTACTGAGTAGCACTGAGGAGAAACCTAGTGGTAATTAGTTTCACCAGGAGCCTTCACAAGCTCACCGCCTACGTACAAGCACCTGAGATTCATGCTCATGTGAATTGGTATATTCCCAATGAAGTTATTCAGCTACTTAGAAGAGCGTCTTCGCACCCCTTCTCAGGCACAGCATTCTCCGCTCAAGAAGATTCAATCAGCAATCACAAATGCACATGTCACAGCAAGGGGAATAAACGTTCCTCACTTTGTCGTGTGATATGCCTACAGGTGAACGAGTATTCCTTCAGGGACCCTCATTCGCACCAACACAGCATGGTTACTCCAAGTTATTTGTGTTCGGAATGCAAGTTTACCGTGGGATCGGTGTGTGCAACTTCATTGAGAGTATTCTGTACAGAGAGTGAATATCTTTATCGAATACTGTCTCGAGAATATTCCTTGGAAGTGTTTCAACAGATTGATTGACAACCTGGAATTCGACAAATTCCACTTGATTGTCAGATGCAAACAGAGTGGAAATATACCACTGATCACGCAGTCAAAATAACCACATTACCTGCCCATGCATCGACTCATTATCAGGATAAACTACGAAGAAAACTGTTTCCGACAACACACGACATGAACACACTCTGTGCCGATGAGCATATCCACCTCAGTATCCCTGAAACGCCTAAACTCCCTGTACTCATTCTTCTATTCTAGGTTTAATGGGAGAACGGGATGATGACGAAGCAGGTAAGTCAACAAAAGCACTACTTTTCATTGTATTTACTCCAATTCGAAAAACATTGAGCAGATTAGTGTACGGTTCAGCAGTAAACAGTGTATAAACATATTTGCAGCAAACCTGTCTCGTCACAACTCATGTCTGTTCAGCCGATCCAATCTAATTGAGTTTCCATTTAAACGACGGGCTTCATCAATAGCCACGTTTACTGAGTAGCACTGAGGAGAAACCTAGTGGTAATTAGTTTCACCAGGAGCCTTCACAAGCTCACCGCCTACGTACAAGCACCTGAGATTCATGCTCATGTGAATTGGTATATTCCCAATGAAGTTATTCAGCTACTTAGAAGAGCGTCTTCGCACCCCTTCTCAGGCACAGCATTCTCCGCTCAAGAAGATTCAATCAGCAATCACAAATGCACATGTCACAGCAAGGGGAATAAACGTTCCTCACTTTGTCGTGTGATATGCCTACAAGTGAGCGACTTATTCCTTCAGGGACTCTCATTCGCACCAACACAGCATGGTTACTGCAAGTTATTTGTATTCAGAATGCAAATTGTCACAGCACACGACAAAGAAACCCTTCATCGAACAACATACTACTTATAAACACTCTGTTCACACCAGCATAATCAACGCACAATCCTTGAAATGCCTAAACTCCCTGTACTCATTCTTCTATTCTAGGTACAATCGGAGGTCACGGTCATGACGGAAAAGGTAAGCCATCAAAAGCACTACTTTTCATTGCATTTACTCCAATTCGAAAAACATTGAGCAGAACAGTGTAGGGTTCAGTAGTAAACAGTGTATAAACATATTTGCAGCAAACCTGTCTCGTCACAACTCATGTCTGTTCAGCCGATCCAATCTAATTGAGTTTCCATTTAAACGACGGGCTTCATCAATAGCCACGTTTACTGAGTAGCACTGAGGAGAAACCTAGTGGTAATTAGTTTCACCAGGAGCCTTCACAAGCTCACCGCCTACGTACAAGCACCTGAGATTCATGCTCATGTGAATTGGTATATTCCCAATGAAGTTATTCAGCTACTTAGAAGAGCGTCTTCGCACCCCTTCTCAGGCACAGCATTCTCCGCTCAAGAAGATTCAATCAGCAATCACAAATGCACATGTCACAGCAAGGGGAATAAACGTTCCTCACTTTGTCGTGTGATATGCCTACAGGTGAACGACTTATTCCTTCAGGGACCCTCATTCGCACCAACACAGCATGGTTACTCCAAGTTATTTGTGTTCGGAATGCAAGTTTACCGTGGGATCGGTGTGTGCAACTTCATTGAGAGTATTCTGTACAGAGAGTGAATATCTTTATCGAATACTGTCTCGAGAATATTCCTTGGAAGTGTTTCAACAGATTGATTGACAACCTGGAATTCGACAAATTCCACTTGATTGTCAGATGCAAACAGAGTGGAAATATACCACTGATCACGCAGTCAAAATAACCACATTACCTGCCCATGCATCGACTCATTATCAGGATAAACTACGAAGAAAACTGTTTCCGACAACACACGACATGAACACACTCTGTGCCGATGAGCATATCCACCTCAGTATCCCTGAAACGCCTAAACTCCCTGTACTCATTCTTCTATTCTAGGTTTAATGGGAGAACGGGATGATGACGAAGCAGGTAAGTCAACAAAAGCACTACTTTTCATTGTATTTACTCCAATTCGAAAAACATTGAGCAGATTAGTGTACGGTTCAGCAGTAAACAGTGTATAAACATATTTGCAGCAAACCTGTCTCGTCACAACTCATGTCTGTTCAGCCGATCCAATCTAATTGAGTTTCCATTTAAACGACGGGCTTCATCAATAGCCACGTTTACTGAGTAGCACTGAGGAGAAACCTAGTGGTAATTAGTTTCACCAGGAGCCTTCACAAGCTCACCACCTACGTACAAGCACCTGAGATTCATGCTCATGTGAATTGGTATATTCCCAATGAAGTTATTCAGCTACTTAGAAGAGCGTCTTCGCACCCCTTCTCAGGCACAGCATTCTCCGCTCAAGAAGATTCAATCAGCAATCACAAATGCACATGTCACAGCAAGGGGAATAAACGTTCCTCACTTTGTCGTGTGATATGCCTACAGGTGAACGACTTATTCCTTCAGGGACTCTCATTCGCACCAACACAGCATGGTTACTGCAAGTTATTTGTATTCAGAATGCAAATTGTCACAGCACACGACAAAGAAACCCTTCATCGAACAACATACTACTTATAAACACTCTGTTCACACCAGCATAATCAACGCACAATCCTTGAAATGCCTAAACTCCCTGTACTCATTCTTCTATTCTAGGTACAATCGGAGGTCACGGTCATGACGGAAAAGGTAAGCCATCAAAAGCACTACTTTTCATTGCATTTACTCCAATTCGAAAAACATTGAGCAGAACAGTGTAGGGTTCAGTAGTAAACAGTGTATAAACATATTTGCAGCAAACCTGTCTCGTCACAACTCATGTCTGTTCAGCCGATCCAATCTAATTGAGTTTCCATTTAAACGACGGGCTTCATCAATAGCCACGTTTACTGAGTAGCACTGAGGAGAAACCTAGTGGTAATTAGTTTCACCAGGAGCCTTCACAAGCTCACCGCCTACGTACAAGCACCTGAGATTCATGCTCATGTGAATTGGTATATTCCCAATGAAGTTATTCAGCTACTTAGAAGAGCGTCTTCGCACCCCTTCTCAGGCACAGCATTCTCCGCTCAAGAAGATTCAATCAGCAATCACAAATGCACATGTCACAGCAAGGGGAATAAACGTTCCTCACTTTGTCGTGTGATATGCCTACAGGTGAGCGACTTATTCCTTCAGGGACCCTCATTCGCACCAACACAGCATGGTTACTCCAAGTTATTTGTGTTCGGAATGCAAGTTTACCGTGGGATCGGTGTGTGCAACTTCATTGAGAGTATTCTGTACAGAGAGTGAATATCTTTATCGAATACTGTCTCGAGAATATTCCTTGGAAGTGTTTCAACAGATTGATTGACAACCTGGAATTCGACAAATTCCACTTGATTGTCAGATGCAAACAGAGTGGAAATATACCACTGATCACGCAGTCAAAATAACCACATTACCTGCCCATGCATCGACTCATTATCAGGATAAACTACGAAGAAAACTGTTTCCGACAACACACGACATGAACACACTCTGTGCCGATGAGCATATCCACCTCAGTATCCCTGAAACGCCTAAACTCCCTGTACTCATTCTTCTATTCTAGGTTTAATGGGAGAACGGGATGATGACGAAGCAGGTAAGTCAACAAAAGCACTACTTTTCATTGTATTTACTCCAATTCGAAAAACATTGAGCAGATTAGTGTACGGTTCAGCAGTAAACAGTGTATAAACATATTTGCAGCAAACCTGTCTCGTCACAACTCATGTCTGTTCAGCCGATCCAATCTAATTGAGTTTCCATTTAAACGACGGGCTTCATCAATAGCCACGTTTACTGAGTAGCACTGAGGAGAAACCTAGTGGTAATTAGTTTCACCAGGAGCCTTCACAAGCTCACCGCCTACGTACAAGCACCTGAGATTCATGCTCATGTGAATTGGTGTATTCCCAATGAAGTTATTCAGCTACTTAGAAGAGCGTCTTCGCACCCCTTCTCAGGCACAGCATTCTCCGCTCAAGAAGATTCAATCAGCAATCACAAATGCACATGTCACAGCAAGGGGAATAAACGTTCCTCACTTTGTCGTGTGATATGCCTACAGGTGAGCGACTTATTCCTTCAGGGACTCTCATTCGCACCAACACAGCATGGTTACTGCAAGTTATTTGTATTCAGAATGCAAATTGTCACAGCACACGACAAAGAAACCCTTCATCGAACAACATACTACTTATAAACACTCTGTTCACACCAGCATAATCAACGCACAATCCTTGAAATGCCTAAACTCCCTGTACTCATTCTTCTATTCTAGGTACAATCGGAGGTCACGGTCATGACGGAAAAGGTAAGCCATCAAAAGCACTACTTTTCATTGCATTTACTCCAATTCGAAAAACGTTGAGCAGATTAGTGTACGGTTCAGCAGTATACAGTGTATAAACATATTTGCAGCAAACCTGTCTCGTCACAACTCATGTCTGTTCAGCCGATCCAATCTAATTGAGTTTCCATTTAAATGACGGGCTTCATCAATAGCCACGTTTACTGAGTAGCACTGAGGAAAAACCTAGTGGTAATTAGTTTCACCAGGAGCCTTCACAAGCTCACCGCCTACGTACAAGCACCTGAGATTCATGCTCATGTGAATTGGTATATTCCCAATGAAGTTATTCAGCTACTTAGAAGAGCGTCTTCGCACCCCTTCTCAGGCACAGCATTCTCCGCTCAAGAAGATTCAATCAGCAATCACAAATGCACATGTCACAGCAAGGGGAATAAACGTTCCTCACTTTGTCGTGTGATATGCCTACAGGTGAACGACTTATTCCTTCAGGGACCCTCATTCGCACCAACACAGCATGGTTACTCCAAGTTATTTGTGTTCGGAATGCAAGTTTACCGTGGGATCGGTGTGTGCAACTTCATTGAGAGTATTCTGTACAGAGAGTGAATATCTTTATCGAATACTGTCTCGAGAATATTCCTTGGAAGTGTTTCAACAGATTGATTGACAACCTGGAATTCGACAAATTCCACTTGATTGTCAGATGCAAACAGAGTGGAAATATACCACTGATCACGCAGTCAAAATAACCACATTACCTGCCCATGCATCGACTCATTATCAGGATAAACTACGAAGAGAAACTGTTTCTGACAACACACGACATGAACACACTCTGTGCCGATGAGCATATCCACCTCAGTATCCCTGAAACGCCTAAACTCCCTGTACTCATTCTTCTATTCTAGGTTTAATGGGAGAACGGGATGATGACGAAGCAGGTAAGTCAACAAAAGCACTACTTTTCATTGTATTTACTCCAATTCGACAAACATTGAGCAGAATAGTGTAGGGTTCAGCAGTAAACAGTGTATAAACATATTTGCAGCAAACCTGTCTCGTCACAACTCATGTCTGTTCAGCCGATCCAATCTAATTGAGTTTCCATTTAAATGACGGGCTTCATCAATAGCCACGTTTACTGAGTAGCACTGAGGAGAAACCTAGTGGTAATTAGTTTCACCAGGAGCCTTCACAAGCTCACCGCCTACGTACAAGCACCTGAGATTCATGCTCATGTGAATTGGTATATTCCCAATGAAGTTATTCAGCTACTTAGAAGAGCGTCTTCGCACCCCTTCTCAGGCACAGCATTCTCCGCTCAAGAAGATTCAATCAGCAGTCACTATTGCGCATATCACAGCAAGGGAATATATGTTCCTCACTTTTTATTTGCTTATTTTTTCTAGTTTTTTTTGTTATTTCATGTTTTCTTGTGTCTCTCTTTCCGTGAGCCTTTTGTTTTCTTTTTTGTATTCCTTTTTGATAGTTTTTCACTTTCGTTGATCTTTTTCCTATTGAGTAATATATTCGGAATATTAATCCATAATTTTTGTCTTCCTACCTTTATCTAACTATTCTTTTATAGTTTATGGATTTTCCTTATTTTTGCGTTCATTTTTGACTGACCTGAACATTATTGTCCTCTGTGTGACAGCATTATATAAGCTTGCGTTTGGAAGCTGAATTATAAACTAAGAATTGTGCATCCAGTGACATCATCTGTGTGACTGTGGTAAGTGAAATGAAGTCCTATGGTCTATCTGTAAACGAAATAAAAGCAACTGCACAGAAAAGCACAGAATGTTTTTTTGAAGCTGAAAGTTGCATTACGTGCCCAAGGTAACAATTGAACAATCCTCCTTAAGCAAAGGATCAGAAATTCATGGATATTCGATTTTTTGCGCGTCTTAAACAAACAGAACAATACAAATGAACCACTAGATAAAAATAGCCTCACTTAAAAGATATGTGATGATTCCACATGTCAAATAATCACACCACGAAGGCAGATGTAAGACAGGTCTGTTTACGACCACCGATGATCTGTCTAACCATTCCAGCTGAACTCGAATATTTTTGCGGATTCAGTAGTGTTCACAATCGAAATCTTGAAGCGTAAATCATGTATGTACGCGTTACCATTCCACAAAAATAGATGGAAATATTGGTGAGTCAAGATTTTGTTTTCATTTCACTTTTTAACAGAGCTGGTTTATGTTGTACACAATATATTTGTGAAAAAGCTGAACTTGTTCCGGGGTTCAATGAAATTAAGTGTAAGGATTGCTATGAGATTTGACATTAGCGGGTTGGTTAACTTATAAAACTTATTCATTATCAGTCAGGTGACAACTTCTAAGATGTTAGTTACAAATTAACTTCATTGTCGTGTAGTTATAAAACTGTTATGTCTTGATCTGAATTCAGTGAGAGGATTTAATATAACGAAAAAGCTGGAAAAGTCAATATTTAACAGTTCTTTTTTCGACGAATAACATATTGTGATGGTAATTAATACTTAGTATAATTCAAAGAGGTATACGTAGAAAATCAACAATGAAATAGTTAGGTAAACACAAAACTTACTTCCCGTAAAATATTTGTAGTACTTTATAACAACAATAAATTCATAAGCGGTTGAGCGGATGAACTCACTGTTATTTCTGAACTTCGGTTTTGTTCATTGTGTGAAATCCTAATTGGCTAAGAATATAAAAATTGTAGTTTCTGGTGTTAAAGACTGAAAAACAGCTATCTGTAGGTTAGCATTTACATCCTCTAAACTTTAAAAGCTTCAAGATATATACCAAAATGCATAAGATATTTGCTTTATCTGGGTGAAAACGTGGTTGCACCTTCTAATCGTTTGTGAAAACATAAAAAATTCCTTCATTGCACCGACGTTTGTAAGGAAACGCAACAAAATGAATGCGTTTTATTTACGACTGGTTTTTAGTGCCTATTTCATAACCTAGTGGCATAAATAAGAGATTATTAAGTTATTCTGGAAGGCTGATACGTCCGGGAGTAGGACGTCTCAGATTTGTGCACCACATACGTACATACATAATTGCATCAAGCGGATTGAGGATATCCAAGTTAACAAATATTTCGATATTAATAAGAAGTCAATGCCATCATCATCACCATCAAGTGACATCAATAGACAAGCCAGTGCTCGAGTGGAACCCGAAAGGGAAGCGGCGAGTTGGTTGTCCAAGGGTGACTGGGAGGAGGTCATGTGAAAAGGAGATGAAAAATCTGGAAGAGAACCGAAAGCAATGGACACGCACGGCTGAAGCCCTATGTTCCTCTAGGAATTAAAGGAAACAATAATAATAATAAAATGAGCATCCATCTAGCCATCAAAAGTGAACAGAAAACAATTCGGCCAATATGTTTGCCATTCTGGATAATCATCATGGATAAAATAAGCCCCAATACTTCTTAAAATCTAGACGCTTAATTCTTCAAATTGGTGGGAAATAACTTGCTTATCAACTTGGGAGTTTTTTTGGAACGAAGACTGATATGGGCTGCAATTAGTCATAAATCAAAATTTCCTTCCTTAACATCATCAATAGAGATAAAATAATATCAAACATCATATATTTCTCCACTCAGGAGACAAGAAGAGACAAATAATACACAGATTCAGAATTGAATCTGTGTATTTAAGCCAAGTGTTGACTCACCGAAATGTCTACTTCACTTTACACTAACAACACAAAACACTGGTGGTAACTACACACTAGAGTCGTCTTATCAGTCACCCCCTGTAGTTAAGGAAATTGTTTATCACCAAAACAAGCTGCAGAGCAAGTGAGCTATTTTAGAGATGACAATGATAGTCAGGACGAAAAAAGAGTTCACAGACAGATAAACATCAGGATATCTCACTGAAAATTAAAAGCTATTGATATGTAGTTGTTAATCAAGTTTGTTTGCTAGAGAATGTAGTCACACATATTGTAGCACAGAAAAATTCTAGCTTACTCTTCGTAAAATTTTTCTGTTATTAATGCGACTGATTTCATTCATGAATGATCTCCATCCACGCATTATTGATAACAAAACTGGTATATGAGAGAAGATACTATTTTGGCGGATTCCATTTTTCGCATTTAGTGTTCAATCGCATTTTTGGACATATTTTTTATGAAATACGGTAGCAGTAAAAGTTATGAATGGTCACACTCAAAGTTATCAAAATAATTCAATGCATACGAGGAGCTGAATAAGTGTATTGGAGTTACGTCAATAGATGAATAATTAAATGAATGAGTTGTTATCAGGATGAACATATACAAACTAGGAGACATCCTAATATTTTTTAGGCAAATACTGAAGAGGTTTACTTGCCTTCCCATACAACTCAAGTATCTGTGATACAATAGTGCTCAAAAACATTTCATAGACGAACAGAATTAATTATTGCTGAAAGCGTCGAATAATAGTTAGCCGTAAAAATCACAGAGATGAATAGGATAATAAGAAAAAATCGACACGAAACCAACTGGAAAAAACATCAGAGCGAAACCATTGAAGAAACATATAAATGTAGAAAATAAGAACGAAAAAAAAGAAGGACGTCATGGAATATATCAAACAATATCAGAAAAAGAGAGAAAATTACGAGTAATTCATATAATAATTTGAAGAAACATTTATCAATTCAGCCGTAAAGAGCTGAATCAGCAATGTATGGCGATTCATTCACATAAGAATTCAGTTTCCCTTCATCCAGCGTGTAACTCCTACAGCACCACAGAAATCACTTCAATTAGAAAATACATCAAGATGAAAGGTATAAGTAAACATGCAAGTGTGATATGAAATGGACGCTGTTTGGCAGTGAAAGGTGTTACCATGATATTCATGAAGCTACAATAATAATTTTTACAATTTCCATTACAGATGATGAGGAAGAACAACAAGGTAAGTCGTGTTGTGGTCTCTTCCCTTCTCCAATTTCAGTACAGTGAAATGTAAAATTACAACGTAATCTAAGACACAGCCGAAAATGCAGTATGAGCAGTGTATGGCGTTTCCTTGACATAAGAATTCAGTTTCCCTTCATCCAGCGTGTAACTCCTACAGCACCACAGAAATCACTTCAATTAGAAAATACATCAAGATGAAAGGTATAAGTAAACATCCATGTGTGATATGAAGTGGACGCTGTTTGGCAGTGAAAGGTGTTACCATGATATTCATGAAGCTATAATAATAATTTTAACAATTTCAATTACAGAGGTTGAGGATGGACAACAAGGTAAGTCGTGTTGTGGTCTCTTCCCTTCTCCAATTTCAGTACAGTGAAATGTAAAATTACAACGTAATCTATGACACAGACGAAAAATCAGTATGAGCAATGTGCGGTGTTTCCTTGACATAAGAATTGTGTTTCACTTCATTCAGCGTGTAACTCCTACAGCACCACAGAAATCACTTCAATTAGAAAATACATCAAGATGAAAGGTATAAGTAAACATGCAAGTGTGATATGAAATGGACGCTGTTTGGCAGTGAAAGGTGTTACCATGATATTCATGAAGCTACAATAATAATTTTTACAATTTCCATTACAGATGATGAGGAAGAACAACAAGGTAAGTCGTGTTGTGGTCTCTTCCCTTCTCCAATTTCAGTACAGTGAAATGTAAAATTACAACGTAATCTAAGACACAGCCGAAAATGCAGTATGAGCAGTGTATGGCGTTTCCTTGACATAAGAATTCAGTTTCCCTTCATCCAGCGTGTAACTCCTACAGCACCACAGAAATCACTTCAATTAGAAAATACATCAAGATGAAAGGTATAAGTAAACATCCATGTGTGATATGAAGTGGACGCTGTTTGGCAGTGAAAGGTGTTACCATGATATTCATGAAGCTACAATAATAATTTTTACAATTTCCATTACAGATGATGAGGAAGAACAACAAGGTAAGTCGTGTTGTGGTCTCTTCCCTTCTCCAATTTCAGTACAGTGAAATGTAAAATTACAACGTAATCTATGACACAGATGAAAAATCAGTATGAGCAATGTGCGGTATTTCCTTGACATAAGAATTGTGTTTCACTTCATTCAGCGTGTAACTCCTACAGCACCACAGAAATCACTTCAATTAGAAAATACATCAAGATGAAAGGTATAAGTAAACATGCAAGTGTGATATGAAATGGACGCTGTTTGGCAGTGAAAGGTGTTACCATGATATTCATGAAGCTATAATAATAATTTTAACAATTTCCATTACAGAAGATGAGCATAAAAAAGTTATGCCTTGGTGCGGTCCCCAACTTAGAACAATTTCAGTACAGTAAAATGTAAAATTACAACGTAATCTATGACACAGCCAAAAATGCAGTATGAGCAAGGTGTGGCGTTTCCTTCACATAAGAATTAAGTTTCCCTTCATCCACCGTGTAACTCCTACAGCACCACAGAAATCACTTCAATTAGAAAATACATCAAGATGAAAGGTATAAGTAAACATGCAAGTGTGATATGAAATGGACGCTGTTTGGCAGTGAAAGGTGTTACCATGATATTCATGAAGCTATAATAATAATTTTAACAATTTCCATTACAGAGGTTGAGGATGAACAAGAAGGTAAGTCGTGGTGTGGTCTCTCCCTTTCTCCAATTTCAGTACAGTAAAATGTAAAATTACAAGCTAATCTATGACACAGCAGAAAATGCAGTATGAGCAATGTGTGGGGTTTCCATCACATAAGAATTAAGTTTCCCTTCATCCAGCGTGTAACCCCTACAGCACCACAGAAATCATTTCAATTAGAAAATACATCAAGATGAAAGGTGTAAGTAAACATGCAAGTGTGATATGAAATGGACGCTGTTTGGCAGTGAAAGGTGTTACCATGATATTCATGAAGCTATAATAATAATTTTAACAATTTCAATTACAGAGGTTGAGGATGGACAACAAGGTAAGTCGTGTTGTGGTCTCTTCCCTTCTCCAATTTCAGTACAGTGAAATGTAAAATTACAACGTAATCTAAGACACAGCCGAAAATGCAGTATGAGCAGTGTATGGCGTTTCCTTGACATAAGAATTCAGTTTCCCTTCATCCAGCGTGTAACTCCTACAGCACCACAGATATCACTTCAATTAGAAAATACATCAAGATGAAAGGTATAAGTAAACATGCAAGTGTGATATGAAATGGACGCTGTTTGGCAGTGAAAGGTGTTACCATGATATTCATGAAGCTAAAATAATAATTTTTACAATTTCCATTACAGATGATGAGCATAAAAAAGTTATGCCTTGGTGCGGTCCCCAACTTAGAACAATTTCAGTACAGTAAAATGTAAAATTACAACGTAATCTAAGACACAGCCAAAAATGCAGTATGAGCAAGGTGTGGCGTTTCCTTCACATAAGAATTAAGTTTCCCTTCATCCAGCGTGTAACTCCTACAGCACCACAGAAATCACTTCAATTAGAAAATACATCAAGATGAAAGGTATAAGTAAACATGCAAGTGTGATATGAAATGGACGCTGTTTGGCAGTGAAAGGTGTTACCATGATATTCATGAAGCTATAATAATAATTTTAACAATTTCCATTACAGAGGTTGAGGATGAACAAGGAGGTAAGTCGTGTTGTGGTCTCTTCCCTTCTCCAATTTCAGTACAGTGAAATGTAAAATTACAACGTAATCTAAGACACAGCCGAAAATGCAGTATGAGCAGTGTATGGCGTTTCCTTGACATAAGAATTCAGTTTCCCTTCATCCAGCGTGTAACTCCTACAGCACCACAGAAATCACTTCAATTAGAAAATACATCAAGATGAAAGGTATAAGTAAACATGCAAGTGTGATATGAAATGGACGCTGTTTGGCAGTGAAAGGTGTTACCATGATATTCATGAAGCTATAATAATAATTTTAACAATTTCCATTACAGAAGATGAGCATAAAAAAGTTATGCCTTGGTGCGGTCCCCAACTTAGAACAATTTCAGTACAGTAAAATGTAAAATTACAACGTAATCTATGACACAGCCAAAAATGCAGTATGAGCAAGGTGTGGTGTTTCCTTCACATAAGAATTAAGTTTCCCTTCATCCACCGTGTAACTCCTACAGCACCACAGAAATCACTTCAATTAGAAAATACATCAAGATGAAAGGTATAAGTAAACATGCAAGTGTGATATGAAATGGACGCTGTTTGGCAGTGAAAGGTGTTACCATGATATTCATGAAGCTATAATAATAATTTTAACAATTTCCATTACAGAGGTTGAGGATGAACAAGAAGGTAAGTCGTGGTGTGGTCTCTCCCTTTCTCCAATTTCAGTACAGTAAAATGTAAAATTACAAGGTAATCTATGACACAGCCGAAAATGCAGTATGAGCAATGTGTGGTGTTTCCATCACATAAGAATTAAGTTTCCCTTCATCCACCGTGTAACTCCTACAGCACCACAGAAATCATTTCAATTAGAAAATACATCAAGATGAAAGGTGTAAGTAAACATGCAAGTGTGATATGAAATGGACGCTGTTTGGCAGTGAAAGGTGTTACCATGATATTCATGAAGCTATAATAATAATTTTAACAATTTCAATTACAGAGGTTGAGGATGGACAACAAGGTAAGTCGTGTTGTGGTCTCTTCCCTTCTCCAATTTCAGTACAGTGAAATGTAAAATTACAACGTAATCTAAGACACAGCCGAAAATGCAGTATGAGCAGTGTATGGCGTTTCCTTGACATAAGAATTCAGTTTCCCTTCATCCAGCGTGTAACTCCTACAGCACCACAGATATCACTTCAATTAGAAAATACATCAAGATGAAAGGTATAAGTAAACATGCAAGTGTGATATGAAATGGACGCTGTTTGGCAGTGAAAGGTGTTACCATGATATTCATGAAGCTACAATAATAATTTTTACAATTTCCATTACAGATGATGAGGAAGAACAACAAGGTAAGTCGTGTTGTGGTCTCTTCCCTTCTCCAATTTCAGTACAGTGAAATTTATAATTACAATCTTATCTATGAAAAAGCCGAAAATGCAGTATGAGCAGTGTATGGCGTTTCCTTGACATAAGAATTGTGTTTCACTTCATCCAGCGTGTAACTCCTACAGCACCACAGAAATCACTTCAATTAGAAAATACATCAAGATGAAAGGTATAAGTAAACATGCAAGTGTGATATGAAATGGACGCTGTTTGGCAGTGAAAGGTGTTACCATGATATTCATGAAGCTACAATAATAATTTTTACAATTTCCATTACAGATGATGAGCATAAAAAAGTTATGCCTTGGTGCGGTCCCCAACTTAGAACAATTTCAGTACATTAAAATGTAAAATTACAACGTAATCTAAGACACAGCCAAAAATGCAGTATGAGCAAGGTGTGGCGTTTCCTTCACATAAGAATTAAGTTCCCCTTCATCCAGCGTGTAACTCCTACAGCACCACAGAAATCACTTCAATTAGAAAATACATCAAGATGAAAGGTATAAGTAAACATGCAAGTGTGATATGAAATGGACGCTGTTTGGCAGTGAAAGGTGTTACCATGATATTCATGAAGCTATAATAATAATTTTAACAATTTCCATTACAGAGGTTGAGGATGGACAACAAGGTAAGTCGTGTTGTGGTCTCTTCCCTTCTCCAATTTCAGTACAGTGAAATGTAAAATTACAACGTAATCTAAGACACAGCCGAAAATGCAGTATGAGCAGTGTATGGCGTTTCCTTGACATAAGAATTAAGTTTCCCTTCATCCAGCGTGTAACTCCTACAGCACCACAGAAATCACTTCAATTAGAAAATACATCAAGATGAAAGGTATAAGTAAACATGCAAGTGTGATATGAAATGGACGCTGTTTGGCAGTGAAAGGTGTTACCATGATATTCATGAAGCTATAATAATAATTTTAACAATTTCCATTACAGAAGATGAGCATAAAAAAGTTATGCCTTGGTGCGGTCCCCAACTTAGAACAATTTCAGTACAGTAAAATGTAAAATTACAACGTAATCTATGACACAGCCAAAAATGCAGTATGAGCAAGGTGTGGCGTTTCCTTGACATAAGAATTCAGTTTCCCTTCATCCAGCGTGTAACTCCTACAGCACCACAGAAATCACTTCAATTAGAAAATACATCAAGATGAAAGGTATAAGTAAACATGCAAGTGTGATATGAAATGGACGCTGTTTGGCAGTGAAAGGTGTTACCATGATATTCATGAAGCTATAATAATAATTTTAACAATTTCCATTACAGAAGATGAGCATAAAAAAGTTATGCCTTGGTGCGGTCCCCAACTTAGAACAATTTCAGTACAGTAAAATGTAAAATTACAACGTAATCTATGACACAGCCGAAAATGCAGTATGAGCAGTGTATGGCGTTTCCTTGACATAAGAATTCAGTTTCCCTTCATCCAGCGTGTAACTCCTACAGCACCACAGATATCACTTCAATTAGAAAATACATCAAGATGAAAGGTATAAGTAAACATGCAAGTGTGATATGAAATGGACGCTGTTTGGCAGTGAAAGGTGTTACCATGATATTCATGAAGCTATAATAATAATTTTAACAATTTCCATTACAGAGGTTGAGGATGAACAAGGAGGTAAGACGTGGTGTGGTCTCTCCCTTTCTCCAATTTCAGTACAGTAAAATGTAAAATTACAAGCTAATCTATGACACAGCCGAAAATGCAGTATGAGCAATGTGTGGGGTTTCCATCACATAAGAATTAAGTTTCCCTTCATCCAGCGTGTAACCCCTACAGCACCACAGAAATCATTTCAATTAGAAAATACATCAAGATGAAAGGTGTAAGTAAATATGCAAGTGTGATATGAAATGGACGCTGTTTGGCAGTGAAAGGTGTTACCATGATATTCATGAAGCTATAATAATAATTTTAACAATTTCCATTACAGAGGTTGAGGATGAACAACAAGGTAAGTCGTGTTGTGGTCTCTTCCCTTCTCCAATTTCAGTACAGTGAAATGTAAAATTACAACGTAATCTAAGACACAGCCGAAAATGCAGTATGAGCAGTGTATGGCGTTTCCTTGACATAAGAATTCAGTTTCCCTTCATCCAGCGTGTAACTCCTACAGCACCACAGATATCACTTCAATTAGAAAATACATCAAGATGAAAGGTATAAGTAAACATGCAAGTGTGATATGAAATGGACGCTGTTTGGCAGTGAAAGGTGTTACCATGATATTCATGAAGCTACAATAATAATTTTTACAATTTCCATTACAGATGATGAGGAAGAACAACAAGGTAAGTCGTGTTGTGGTCTCTTCCCTTCTCCAATTTCAGTACAGTGAAATGTAAAATTACAACGTAATCTATGACACAGACGAAAATGAAGTATGAGCAATGTGCGGTGTTTCCTTGACATAAGAATTCAGTTTCACTTCATTCAGCGTGTAACTCCTACAGCACCACAGAAATCACTTCAATTAGAAAATACATCAAGATGAAAGGTATAAGTAAACATGCAAGTGTGATATGAAATGGACGCTGTTTGGCAGTGAAAGGTGTTACCATGATATTCATGAAGCTATAATAATAATTTTAACAATTTCCATTACAGAAGATGAGGAAGAACAACAAGGTAAGTCGTGTTGTGGTCTCTTCCCTTCTCCAATTTCAGTACAGTGAAATGTAAAATTACAACGTAATCTATGACACAGACGAAAATGAAGTATGAGCAATGTGTGGTGTTTCCTTGACATAAGAATTGTGTTTCACTTCATTCAGCGTGTAACTCCTACAGCACCACAGAAATCACTTCAATTAGAAAATACATCAAGATGAAAGGTATAAGTAAACATGCAAGTGTGATATGAAATGGACGCTGTTTGGCAGTGAAAGGTGTTACCATGATATTCATGAAGCTACAATAATAATTTTTACAATTTCCATTACAGAAGATGAGGAAGAACAACAAGGTAAGTCGTGTTGTGGTCTCTTCCCTTCTCCAATTTCAGTACAGTGAAATGTAAAATTACAACGTAATCTATGACACAGACGAAAATGAAGTATGAGCAATGTGTGGTGTTTCCTTGACATAAGAATTCAGTTTCCCTTCATCCAGCGTGTAACTCCTACAGCACCACAGAAATCACTTCAATTAGAAAATACATCAAGATGAAAGGTATAAGTAAACATGCAAGTGTGATATGAAATGGACGCTGTTTGGCAGTGAAAGGTGTTACCATGATATTCATGAAGCTATAATAATAATTTTAACAATTTCCATTACAGAAGATGAGGAAGAACAACAAGGTAAGTCGTGTTGTGGTCTCTTCCCTTCTCCAATTTCAGTACAGTGAAATGTAAAATTACAACGTAATCTATGACACAGACGAAAATGAAGTATGAGCAATGTGTGGTGTTTCCTTGACATAAGAATTCAGTTTCCCTTCATCCAGCGTGTAACTCCTACAGCACCACAGAAATCACTTCAATTAGAAAATACATCAAGATGAAAGGTATAAGTTAACATCCATGTGTGATATGAAATGGACGCTGTTTGGCAGTGAAAGGTGTTACCATGATATTCATGAAGCTATAATAATAATTTTAACAATTTCCATTACAGAAGATGAGGAAGAACAACAAGGTAAGTCGTGTTGTGGTCTCTTCCCTTCTCCAATTTCAGTACAGTGAAATGTAAAATTACAACGTAATCTATGACACAGACGAAAATGAAGTATGAGCAATGTGTGGTGTTTCCTTGACATAAGAATTGTGTTTCACTTCATTCAGCGTGTAACTCCTACAGCACCACAGAAATCACTTCAATTAGAAAATACATCAAGATGAAAGGTATAAGTAAACATGCAAGTGTGATATGAAATGGACGCTGTTTGGCAGTGAAAGGTGTTACCATGATATTCATGAAGCTACAATAATAATTTTAACAATTTCCATTACAGATGATGAGGAAGAACAACAAGGTAAGTCGTGTTGTGGTCTCTTCCCTTCTCCAATTTCAGTACAGTGAAATGTAAAATTACAACGTAATCTATGACACAGACGAAAATGAAGTATGAGCAATGTGTGGTGTTTCCTTGACATAAGAATTGTGTTTCACTTCATTCAGCGTGTAACTCCTACAGCACCACAGAAATCACTTCAATTAGAAAATACATCAAGATGAAAGGTATAAGTAAACATGCAAGTGTGATATGAAATGGACGCTGTTTGGCAGTGAAAGGTGTTACCATGATATTCATGAAGCTATAATAATAATTTTAACAATTTCCATTACAGAAGATGAGGAAGAACAACAAGGTAAGTCGTGTTGTGGTCTCTTCCCTTCTCCAATTTCAGTACAGTGAAATGTAAAATTACAACGTAATCTATGACACAGACGAAAATGAAGTATGAGCAATGTGTGGTGTTTCCTTGACATAAGAATTGTGTTTCACTTCATTCAGCGTGTAACTCCTACAGCACCACAGAAATCACTTCAATTAGAAAATACATCAAGATGAAAGGTATAAGTAAACATGCAAGTGTGATATGAAATGGACGCTGTTTGGCAGTGAAAGGTGTTACCATGATATTCATGAAGCTATAATAATAATTTTAACAATTTCCATTACAGAAGATGAGGAAGAACAACAAGGTAAGTCGTGTTGTGGTCTCTTCCCTTCTCCAATTTCAGTACAGTGAAATGTAAAATTACAACGTAATCTATGACACAGACGAAAATGAAGTATGAGCAATGTGTGGTGTTTCCTTGACATAAGAATTGTGTTTCACTTCATTCAGCGTGTAACTCCTACAGCACCACAGAAATCACTTCAATTAGAAAATACATCAAGATGAAAGGTATAAGTAAACATGCAAGTGTGATATGAAATGGACGCTGTTTGGCAGTGAAAGGTGTTACCATGATATTCATGAAGCTACAATAATAATTTTAACAATTTCCATTACAGAAGATGAGGAAGAACAACAAGGTAAGTCGTGTTGTGGTCTCTTCCCTTCTCCAATTTCAGTACAGTGAAATGTAAAATTACAACGTAATCTATGACACAGACGAAAATGAAGTATGAGCAATGTGTGGTGTTTCCTTGACATAAGAATTGTGTTTCACTTCATTCAGCGTGTAACTCCTACAGCACCACAGAAATCACTTCAATTAGAAAATACATCAAGATGAAAGGTATAAGTAAACATCCAAGTGTGATATGAAATGGACGCTGTTTGGCAGTGAAAGGTGTTACCATGATATTCATGAAGCTACAATAATAATTTTTACAATTTCCATTACAGATGATGAGGAAGAACAACAAGGTAAGTCGTGTTGTGGTCTCTTCCCTTCTCCAATTTCAGTACAGTGAAATGTAAAATTACAACGTAATCTATGACACAGACGAAAAATCAGTATGAGCAATGTGCGGTGTTTCCTTGACATAAGAATTCAGTTTCCCTTCATCCAGCGTGTAACTCCTACAGCACCACAGAAATCACTTCAATTAGAAAATGCAGCAAGATGAAAGGTATAAGTTAACATCCATGTGTGATATGAAGTGGACGCTGTTTCGCAGTGAAAGGTGTTACCATGATATTCATGAATCTACAATAATAATTTTTACAATTTCCATTACAGATGATGAGGAAGAACAACAAGGTAAGTCGTGTTGTGGTCTCTTCCCTTCTCCAATTTCAGTACAGTGAAATGTAAAATTACAACGTAATCTATGACACAGACGAAAAATCAGTATGAGCAATGTGCGGTGTTTCCTTGAAATAAGAATTGTGTTTCACTTCATTCAGCGTGTAACTCCTACAGCACCACAGAAATCACTTCAATTAGAAAATGCAGCAAGATGAAAGGTATAAGTAAACATCCATGTGTGATATGAAGTGGACGCTGTTTCGCAGTGAAAGGTGTTACCATGATATTCATGAAGCTACAATAATAATTTTTACAATTTCCATTACAGATGATGAGGAAGAACAACAAGGTAAGTCGTGTTGTGGTCTCTTCCCTTCTCCAATTTCAGTACAGTGAAATGTAAAATTACAACGTAATCTATGACACAGACGAAAATGAAGTATGAGCAATGTGTGGCGTTTCCTTGACATAAGAATTGTGTTTCACTTCATTCAGCGTGTAACTCCTACAGCACCACAGAAATCACTTCAATTAGAAAATACATCAAGATGAAAGGTATAAGTAAACATCCAAGTGTGATATGAAGTGGACGCTGTTTGGCAGTGAAAGGTGTTACCATGATATTCATGAAGCTACAATAATAATTTTTACAATTTCCATTACAGATGATGAGGAAGAACAACAAGGTAAGTCGTGTTGTGGTCTCTTCCCTTCTCCAATTTCAGTACAGTGAAATGTAAAATTACAACGTAATCTATGACACAGACGAAAATGAAGTATGAGCAATGTGTGGCGTTTCCTTGACATAAGAATTGTGTTTCACTTCATTCAGCGTGTAACTCCTACAGCACCACAGAAATCACTTCAATTAGAAAATACATCAAGATGAAAGGTATAAGTAAACATCCAAGTGTGATATGAAGTGGACGCTGTTTGGCAGTGAAAGGTGTTACCATGATATTCATGAAGCTACAATAATAATTTTTACAATTTCCATTACAGATGATGAGGAAGAACAACAAGGTAAGTCGTGTTGTGGTCTCTTCCCTTCTCCAATTTCAGTACAGTGAAATGTAAAATTACAACGTAATCTATGACACAGACGAAAATGAAGTATGAGCAATGTGTGGTGTTTCCTTGACATAAGAATTGTGTTTCACTTCATTCAGCGTGTAACTCCTACAGCACCACAGAAATCACTTCAATTAGAAAATACATCAAGATGAAAGGTATAAGTAAACATGCAAGTGTGATATGAAATGGACGCTGTTTGGCAGTGAAAGGTGTTACCATGATATTCATGAAGCTTAAATAATAATTTTTACAAATTCCACTACAGAGTCTGTGTATGTAGAAGGTAAGTCGTGTTGTGGTCTCTTCCTTTCTACAATTTCAGTACAGTAAAATGTATAAATACTACCTAATCTATGGCACAGACGAAAATGAAGTATGAGCAATGTGTGGTGTTTCCATCACATAGGAATTCAGATTCGTTTCATCCAGCGTGTAACTCCTACAGCACCACAGAAATCACTTCAATTAGAAAATACATCAAGATGAAAGGTATAAGTAAACATGCAAGTGTGATATGAAATGGACGCTGTTTGGCAGTGAAAGGTGTTACCATGATATTCATGAAGCTACAATAATAATTTTTACAATTTCCATTACAGATGATGAGGAAGAACAACAAGGTGAGTCGTGTTGTGGTCTCTTCCCTTCTCCAATTTCAGTACAGTGAAATGTAAAATTACAACGTAATCTAAGACACAGCCGAAAATGCAGTATGAGCAGTGTATGGCGTTTCCTTGCCATAAGAATTCGGTTTCCCTTCATCCAGCGTGTAACTCCTACAGCACCACAGAAATCACTTCAATTAGAAAATACATCAAGATGAAAGGTATAAGTTAACATCCATGTGTGATATGAAGTGGACGCTGTTTGGCAGTGAAAGGTGTTACCATGATATTCATGAAGCTACAATAATAATTTTTACAATTTCCATTACAGATGATGAGGAAGAACAACAAGGTGAGTCGTGTTGTGGTCTCTTCCCTTCTCCAATTTCAGTACAGTGAAATGTAAAATTACAACGTAATCTAAGACACAGCCGAAAATGCAGTATGAGCAGTGTATGGCGTTTCCTTGCCATAAGAATTCGGTTCCCCTTCATCCAGCGTGTAACTCCTACAGCACCACAGAAATCACTTCAATTAGAAAATACATCAAGATGAAAGGTATAAGTAAACATCCATGTGTGATATGAAGTGGACGCTGTTTGGCAGTGAAAGGTGTTACCATGATATTCATGAAGCTACAATAATAATTTTTACAATTTCCATTACAGATGATGAGGAAGAACAACAAGGTAAGTCGTGTTGTGGTCTCTTCCCTTCTCCAATTTCAGTACAGTGAAATGTAAAATTACAACGTAATCTATGACACAGACGAAAAATCAGTATGAGCAATGTGCGGTGTTTCCTTGACATAAGAATTCAGTTTCCCTTCATCCAGCGTGTAACTCCTACAGCACCACAGAAATCACTTCAATTAGAAAATGCAGCAAGATGAAAGGTATAAGTTAACATCCATGTGTGATATGAAGTGGACGCTGTTTCGCAGTGAAAGGTGTTACCATGATATTCATGAAGCTACAATAATAATTTTTACAATTTCCATTACAGATGATGAGGAAGAACAACAAGGTAAGTCGTGTTGTGGTCTCTTCCCTTCTCCAATTTCAGTACAGTGAAATGTAAAATTACAACGTAATCTATGACACAGACGAAAAATCAGTATGAGCAATGTGCGGTGTTTCCTTGACATAAGAATTCAGTTTCCCTTCATCCAGCGTGTAACTCCTACAGCACCACAGAAATCACTTCAATTAGAAAATGCAGCAAGATGAAAGGTATAAGTTAACATCCATGTGTGATATGAAGTGGACGCTGTTTCGCAGTGAAAGGTGTTACCATGATATTCATGAAGCTACAATAATAATTTTTACAATTTCCATTACAGATGATGAGGAAGAACAACAAGGTAAGTCGTGTTGTGGTCTCTTCCCTTCTCCAATTTCAGTACAGTGAAATGTAAAATTACAACGTAATCTATGACACAGACGAAAATGAAGTATGAGCAATGTGCGGTGTTTCCTTGACATAAGAATTCAGTTTCACTTCATTCAGCGTGTAACTCCTACAGCACCACAGAAATCACTTCAATTAGAAAATGCAGCAAGATGAAAGGTATAAGTAAACATCCATGTGTGATATGAAGTGGACGCTGTTTCGCAGTGAAAGGTGTTACCATGATATTCATGAAGCTACAATAATAATTTTTACAATTTCCATTACAGATGATGAGGAAGAACAACAAGGTAAGTCGTGTTGTGGTCTCTTCCCTTCTCCAATTTCAGTACAGTGAAATGTAAAATTACAACGTAATCTATGACACAGACGAAAAATCAGTATGAGCAATGTGCGGTGTTTCCTTGAAATAAGAATTGTGTTTCACTTCATTCAGCGTGTAACTCCTACAGCACCACAGAAATCACTTCAATTAGAAAATACATCAAGATGAAAGGTATAAGTAAACATCCAAGTGTGATATGAAATGGACGCTGTTTGGCAGTGAAAGGTGTTACCATGATATTCATGAAGCTACAATAATAATTTTTACAATTTCCATTACAGATGATGAGGAAGAACAACAAGGTAAGTCGTGTTGTGGTCTCTTCCCTTCTCCAATTTCAGTACAGTGAAATGTAAAATTACAACGTAATCTATGACACAGACGAAAAATCAGTATGAGCAATGTGCGGTGTTTCCTTGACATAAGAATTCAGTTTCCCTTCATCCAGCGTGTAACTCCTACAGCACCACAGAAATCACTTCAATTAGAAAATGCAGCAAGATGAAAGGTATAAGTAAACATCCATGTGTGATATGAAGTGGACGCTGTTTCGCAGTGAAAGGTGTTACCATGATATTCATGAAGCTACAATAATAATTTTTACAATTTCCATTACAGATGATGAGGAAGAACAACAAGGTAAGTCGTGTTGTGGTCTCTTCCCTTCTCCAATTTCAGTACAGTGAAATGTAAAATTACAACGTAATCTATGACACAGACGAAAAATCAGTATGAGCAATGTGCGGTGTTTCCTTGAAATAAGAATTGTGTTTCACTTCATTCAGCGTGTAACTCCTACAGCACCACAGAAATCACTTCAATTAGAAAATACATCAAGATGAAAGGTATAAGTTAACATCCATGTGTGATATGAAATGGACGCTGTTTGGCAGTGAAAGGTGTTACCATGATATTCATGAAGCTACAATAATAATTTTTACAATTTCCATTACAGATGATGAGGAAGAACAACAAGGTAAGTCGTGTTGTGGTCTCTTCCCTTCTCCAATTTCAGTACAGTGAAATGTAAAATTACAACGTAATCTATGACACAGCCGAAAATGCAGTATGAGCAATGTGCGGTGTTTCCTTGACATAAGAATTGTGTTTCACTTCATTCAGCGTGTAACTCCTACAGCACCACAGAAATCACTTCAATTAGAAAATACATCAAGATGAAAGGTATAAGTAAACATCCAAGTGTGATATGAAGTGGACGCTGTTTGGCAGTGAAAGGTGTTACCATGATATTCATGAAGCTACAATAATAATTTTTACAATTTCCATTACAGATGATGAGGAAGAACAACAAGGTAAGTCGTGTTGTGGTCTCTTCCCTTCTCCAATTTCAGTACAGTGAAATGTAAAATTACAACGTAATCTATGACACAGACGAAAAATCAGTATGAGCAATGTGCGGTGTTTCCTTGACATAAGAATTCAGTTTCCCTTCATCCAGCGTGTAACTCCTACAGCACCACAGAAATCACTTCAATTAGAAAATGCAGCAAGATGAAAGGTATAAGTTAACATCCATGTGTGATATGAAGTGGACGCTGTTTGGCAGTGAAAGGTGTTACCATGATATTCATGAAGCTTAAATAATAATTTTTACAATTTCCACTACAGAGTCTGTGTATGTAGAAGGTAAGTCGTGTTGTGGTCTCACCCTTTCTCCAATTTCAGTACAGTGAAATGTAAAATTACAACGTAATCTAAGACACAGCCGAAAATGCAGTATGAGCAGTGTATGGCGTTTCCTTGACATAAGAATTCGGTTTCCCTTCATCCAGCGTGTAACTCCTACAGCACCACAGAAATCACTTCAATTAGAAAATACATCAAGATGAAAGGTATAAGTTAACATCCATGTGTGATATGAAGTGGACGCTGTTTCGCAGTGAAAGGTGTTACCATGATATTCATGAAGCTTAAATAATAATTTTTACAATTTCCATTACAGATGATGAGGAAGAACAACAAGGTAAGTCGTGTTGTGGTCTCTTCCCTTCTCCAATTTCAGTACAGTGAAATGTAAAATTACAACGTAATCTATGACACAGACGAAAAATCAGTATGAGCAATGTGCGGTGTTTCCTTGACATAAGAATTCAGTTTCCCTTCATCCAGCGTGTAACTCCTACAGCACCACAGAAATCACTTCAATTAGAAAATGCAGCAAGATGAAAGGTATAAGTTAACATCCATGTGTGATATGAAGTGGACGCTGTTTCGCAGTGAAAGGTGTTACCATGATATTCATGAAGCTTAAATAATAATTTTTACAATTTCCACTACAGAGTCTGTGTATGTAGAAGGTAAGTCGTGTTGTGGTCTCACCCTTTCTCCAATTTCAGTACAGTGAAATGTAAAATTACAACGTAATCTAAGACACAGCCGAAAATGCAGTATGAGCAGTGTATGGCGTTTCCTTGACATAAGAATTCGGTTTCCCTTCATCCAGCGTGTAACTCCTACAGCACCACAGAAATCACTTCAATTAGAAAATACATCAAGATGAAAGGTATAAGTTAACATCCATGTGTGATATGAAGTGGACGCTGTTTCGCAGTGAAAGGTGTTACCATGATATTCATGAAGCTACAATAATAATTTTTACAATTTCCATTACAGATGATGAGGAAGAACAACAAGGTAAGTCGTGTTGTGGTCTCTTCCCTTCTCCAATTTCAGTACAGTGAAATGTATAATTACAATCTTATCTATGAAACAGCCGAAAATGCAGTATGAGCATTGTATGGTGTTTCCTTGACATAAGAATTCAGTTTCCCTTCATTCAGCGTGTAACTCCTACAGCACCACAGAAATCACTTCAATTAGAAAATGCAGCAAGATGAAAGGTATAAGTAAACATCCATGTGTGATATGAAGTGGACGCTGTTTGGCAGTGAAAGGTGTTACCATGATATTCATGAAGCTAAAATAATAATTTTTACAATTTCCACTACAGAGTCTGTGTATGTAGAAGCTAAGTCCTGTTGTGGTCTCACCCTTTCTCCAATTTCAGTACAGTGAAATGTAAAATTACAACGTAATCTAAGACACAGCCGAAAATGCAGTATGAGCAATGTGCGGTGTTTCCTTGACATAAGAATTGTGTTTCACTTCATTCAGCGTGTAACTCCTACAGCACCACAGAAATCACTTCAATTAGAAAATACATCAAGATGAAAGGTATAAGTAAACATGCAAGTGTGAAATGAAATGGACGCTGTTTGGCAGTGAAAGGTGTTACCATGATATTCATGAAGCTACAATAATAATTTTTACAATTTCCATTACAGATGATGAGGAATAACAAGAATGTAAGTCGTGGTGTGGTCTCTCCCTTTCTCCAATTTCAGTACAGTAAAATGTAAAATTACAAGCTAATCAATGACACATCCAAAAATGCAGTATGAGCAGTGTGTGTTGTTTCCTACACATAAGAATTTATTTTTCATTCACCCACCCTGCAGCCTGTATGGGACCGGAGATTTAGTTTTTTTAAATTTGTCAGGATGAATTTCAAATGATGATCCCAGTTGCTTTTGAATTGCATTGCTTTTTCTTTAAATAGTATTTCTGTTATATTGTTGAATCTACAGTAACAAGTGTACGAATTTCCATTGAAGACAATGACGATGACGATGGTAATTCGTGGAATTCGGCTTTATTTTTGCCATCTTCCATACAGTGATAAACTGAATTGCAACTTACTCCATGACATATATTATACATATATGTGCATATATACACCCATGGAAATACAGAGATTGCATATTCCATAGTGAATGACATAATATTCGTGTGCTGATGTCATATTGTGATTCCTGAGAGGTATTCACTCTGGCAATCATTGCAAGTAATTTCAGATAGCGAAATATGACCGCGTCAATTCATCAAGTGTCATTTGGATTATGAAACTTGCAAAAAGTGTACGGGTGAGAAAGTTGTTTAGCCCAGATAGACATCCGTGTTATCATCAACAGATGACAATTGTATGCATTGTATATCCTACCGCTGTTTCGAATAATGGTGGTCTGTTTTACTGACATTGTCAAATGTAACAGATTCCCAAACTACATGTTCATCTAAATACAAAATAGTGGCACTGTGTAGAGCTCAATTCATCGAATAAATTGATTGCAGTTTGACAGCTGTGGAATACTCATCAGTTCGCAAGTAGCGTCCTGATTTCAATGTTTGCTACGCTTGACGATGAAGGTAAATGTAATAAGTCATCACCTCTGTGGTATACAAAGTAACTATACCTATCCAATTCTTTTCATTTCCCTCATGGTAAAATGACGTCTCTTCCATCAAGTATTCCATCGGCGGATTATACAGCACAACAATGCATTTCACCCCTTGTGGAATTCAAGTCGCTAAATGAATAACCATTTAGTGTACTTTGTTTAATGTGAATTTAATTCGAGTTCTAGAGGACTTTGCTCACAGTTATCTTGCGCATATACCATAGTGATATTCTCGATGACCACTGTGAATATATATCTTACCCGCGACCCCGTTGAATATTTGACTACGCGATCTGTTTATACAATGTTTACTGTCTCTGTATTTTTGACGACCAACACATTAAAACGTCATATGTTTTGTTTCTGAAACAGACTGAGATTGAGCAGTAAGTGATTATTTATCTCATTTACTCCAATCATCATACAACTGAGATAAAGAGCAATGCTACATTCAAGATAACTGAAGCAAACGTTATCCTCTTATAAACCGAATCGAGGATGCGTACTTAACCTAAATATGCAGTCTACAAAATACCACTTTCTCTATATCTTTATATGTGTACATATATCTGCACATGTATAGATGCAATTAAACACATCGTTATCATTATTAACTGTTCGAAGGAACTTTACGATCACCAAAGAAGTCAGCAGAAAACGAAATTGATTTTCACAGAGAATATTGATTAGTCGAAGCGTAACTTAAAACTGAATGCAACGCAGCAGTAATAAATGATATTCAGGTTTTTTATGCAATTGATCGATTTGGAAAGCAAGAAGTGTATTTCCAAATATACGTTCCTCATACTGAAATAAATTTACTTGTGGGTGTAATCCAGTTCTCGCAAAATACATCGCATCAATGAAATTCAAGGCATCCACGAATCTGATCTCTACATATGTGTGTATTGTTTGATGCCAGGTAAATCAGGGTGCTTATTAGGCATAGAACTTCTATGCTAGAGTCATTAATAAAACATCGTTGTACACTATTAGCTTACTTAAATTTAAGTGGCCGCCAATACGACCTGGTAATTTACTAATTCCCTGTTCTAACGAACGTTTCTTCTCAGTCAATTTTTGAGTTGGTTGTACTGATCCTTATTCAAGATGACAGCAGTCATGACACTGCATTGCCACCGCACATTGGAAGAAAGAAAGGAAAAGACAGAAACTGTTGACAAGAGATCTTCTCCTCTTTCAAATCAACAGTAAAACGTTTGACAGTTAACCTGCATATGTAGCATTTAGGTGACCCTGAGTGACATTTATTCCGTTGATAAGTTAGAACAATTACTAAACAATAGGCTTCAGGCGTCACAGGGAGGGAAAAGCAAACATTTAAGTATTGCAAATAAAAGCATCTGTTCAAAGCTTTCTACGATTTAGGTGAATATAACAGTTGACAACTCTCCGAAATATTTTGAAATCGAAAAATCTATTTATCAGTAAATATATGTGTTATGGAAAGTGATGGTCGACCTTATTCAAAATTTATTAGATAAAATGCCTTGTGTTAGTGACATTACAGCACATAATTAAAGACTTTCTAACTATACCACAGTATTAGGAATTCGAAGGACGTAATTTGAAACAGAATTTGTTTTACCACCGAAGGGAGAGTGAACAGGCGGATAAAATGTGCGACAGATAGACTGCATATCTGTATGTATACGTAGATTTTGCGTTAAATTTCCAATTTTAATGATTCATTTTCGGAAAAACTCTGCTTTTACGAGGAAAATTTACTATACATGCTAATGTAGAGATTGAGAATGATATTATTGTGAAGAGTAATCTGTCAGTTTACGCCGTTTCTTTTCCATGTAATATATTGCAAATTGATTCATGAAATTCATTTCTTTCGGGACATTTTTACAATAGGCGATGAAATTGTTGGTCTACAATCCTTTTTGAGTATAAATTAGGTATCTCTGTGATAGAATTGCATAATTATTCTGCATCCCCAAAAGACAGAACAATAACACCCTTTTCATTCGCCTTCCTTAATCGATTGCAGCTTCCAGAGGTAAGATGAAACATTATAACAATTTAAATACAGTAGGAAGACACACAAAATTCACTCTGTGCTGACTTTTCATTAAATTTACTCTTATAAAAACACTATCAAACAGTTTTCTGAATGTATTGATTGAACACAATTTTCATAAATCATAGAAGGCAGAAGAAAATAACGTTTATTCTCATAGACAACATCAGGGTTCATTCGTCCCTGAAATTTCTTCCTATGTGCTTTTAGCGACATTTATACTTTCAGTTATACTCACTAGTGTTCCTGAGTAATCACTATCACTACCTTATTGAACTCATTCGTTTCGTTTCTTTGCGTTCCCGGTGGAACGTAGTATTACAAACTTTAGTTATGAAGTTTAAGTAAAGCCATAATTTTTAACGGAGTACCGTTGATTGCCTCTAACCCAACATTCTCTCTTCTCCACGCCTAATGCTGGCTAAAAAGGATTAAAGGTTTTATTGACTTGGGAGTGAAACCCAAAACACCTGTTTGATTGCTAAGTATTCTTATCCTACAACACCGAAGCATATCAGCATTTTCAGATCCTCAGTTTAACGGGGAATTTTTACGGCCCCTCTGAAATTCACTTCAATATTCCATGCATGTTGACATGTGAGAGAGGTTTCGATTACTCAGATTATCCGAAAATGTCAACATTTAATATGTAACGTGCATTTTGTTAACGCAACTTTGCATAAGTTCGCAGTCGTCGATAAGTTTATAATTATTTCGCTACTTCTTCACCAATTGACACTTTCGTTTCAAAACAGTACGTAATATCTTCGTGTTTTCTGTTTATATTTCAGGATAGAATATGCACCACTCATAAAGAAGAATGCTTTCTCCATAAAAGACTTTGTAATGCTGTTGATCTTTTTATTTAATATGCAAGCTGGAATCCTTTATTTCAAAGTTTAACTTTTGAACCTTTAAATGTTTGTTAGTAAATTAAAGTAATAAATAAAGTTATGGTGCATAAAATGAAGCTTTCCATTTGAGATGTACTTGGGTTGCTTGTCGATAGTATTTATTTGGTTGATTAGTAGTCAGTAGGCAATAGAAACCATAGTTATAAGCATTAATTAGTCGCGATTACATGAAGATCGAATGAATTTCTATCTTGGTTGTGAGTTGCAGGTAGATCTTCGATTAAAGTAGGCAACCTACCCATTACCCCTGTCATCACTTCGAGCCTTTAGAATCGTTTGCAAACAATAGGTTGCATGACAGTATCAGTCGTAAGGTAACATCGGAGAATTCTCTCATCACAGTGTTAGATATTCTGCTGTTTTAGCATGTCGGCCAGAAGGTCACATCAGTCTTCTTGATCAGTTGAACGTCCTGGAAGGAAAAGTCAGTTGACAAACGTGTACTGTTGTATATCCATCAACTGTATTCGGAAGCTGACATTATTCCTTAAGACTAGACGCTGCGAAAAGGAAACATTGAGTGTAATAAGTCAAAACAAATTCCATGATTGTCACTCAGTATGTAAGGAGATTCCAGTCAAAGTCATTTGCGAAGTCAAGTTAAGCCCCTCAAAAAAGACAGGCTTCGTATATTTTGCTTATCAGAGGCTAAGCGATTCGGATGCCGAATTCATTTAAAGTCGATAAATTACAGGCAATGTTACCGACCACTCAATGGGCTGTTCGGTAATGATGATCGCTGTGAAATGTTCTTTCTAGATTAGTAATTCACTTCCTGAATATTGTACATAATCTGTAGTCAATTTCCAGATTTATGACTTGATCTAGACTGTTGCTGCCACTGAATAATCCACTGAACTTTCCTCTTTGATGAAGCTAACAGTATGCTGCTTCTGAACACTCTTGAGAATGAGACGACGTCTATCTGATATCTTATGTTTTCTTTTTATGAAAGCTACACATCTAAGTGGGTAACTTCCTGCTTGTATACATTGTCTACAACCGCCAAATCTTTTAAATTGTATAAATTCTCAAGTATCTTTCATTATGCACTCGTTTATTCATCAAGTATTTGGTAATTATTCACGGAGATGATCATAGAATGTTTCATGTAACTTAGTACATTTGTCAGTTAATCGAAAATTTTGAAATTATTTTGAAAGGAACTTTGAAAATTGGTTTACTCATACATTGGTTTGCGTGTTTACACGTCGCATAAATATATTCCTCAAAATTCAAGTACCGGAAGTAGGTAAATATTCATGAAAATCGTCAAGAAAAGAGGTAGTCGTGAAAAAGCTAGAGAAGCGGATAACTGTCAAATGTCTGTGTGTACTTTAAATACTCTGCAAATACTGACTAAATTGACCATTTTGTCTGTCTTATAGAAGATGCAGCGAACTTCAATTTTTGTTGCGGTAAAGGTGAAACCTAAATACGTGAAACTAGTGACTCTGGTGCTATAATTCAAGTTGGTGATTACTTATGTGTCAATATGTCGTGTAACGGATATCAATAGAATATGATGAGAAATCTTAGCAATAAGTTTCAAAACTCGTGTCTAATACAGGTTGCATGGCCTTTAGCGATTGTTTCTTCTGCACATTCATCACTTATTTAGTTGTGGCAGATTTCAACGCAGAGTTTTGTCAGTAAACAGCATCTCGTATTCTTCTCGCGATAGAAATTTTTGTCGCCATATTTTCGAGTCTCTTTCCAAGTGTATGGAATCCTTTACTTGAAAATGGTGGAAATTACATAACCATGCAAATATCCACGTGTTTGCAGAAGCTACCTTGAATCGCAAGCATTTGAGGGCGTAGAATTCCGTAGGATACACTTTGTTCTCATTTATTATATCCAGTACCTCATCGCCTATGACAAGTTTGTTCCCTGTGCTGTCCACTCTCAATTTCCCATTCAAGCCACTTTTAAAATTGCAATGCTACCACATATGGCCTTAACCTCGCACAGTTTACTCGCCTATCCTAGTCCAGGAATATAGAGTAGGTTTGACTGGAAGCTACGTCCGTATCCTTAAGCAGGAATGTGATCGTAATCAAAACTGTTGGACACAGGAAAATGTAGTGTTTCTTCTCTGAAATGGGAAGACTCATCGACTGAGTGACAGATAAAAATGATGAGTGATAACGTTATGAACGCTAGCTGGCTTAAGTATCTTTTTATTATAAAAGTAAAAGTAAACGTAGAGTTGTTCAGTGCTGCTCAGAGAAGCTCAGTTATTGGTGATAAAAGGCCAGGAATGTTCATAGAATTAATCATGTCCTGAGTAAGAAGTCGCACAAAGGGAATGAAAAGATGCTGCCACACTGTATTTTCTATTTTTCAACAAGGTTCAGTGGAATAGAGATGCACTTGACAGGCGTGCTTATCACAAATAATAATTCTCACGCTAAAAGCATACAAAAGCTACATGATCTATTAGCCGGCCATTAAAGCGGTGACACACAAGCAGTGAGCCGCAAAAATGTGTTTACGAAAGGACATATGTAAGTGTGCATATATATGTCTATAGTGAGAAAGAAGCAAAGAAAATAAAAAAGGCCAACTGATCTGTGAAAAGTTAATCTTTATTGAATATGAACACAGCTGCTTAAGTGGTTATGATGTAATATTTTTTTCCTTCACATTCCCAGTGGAACATAGGGCTTCAAGGTAGTGGCTTGAAGTTCCTGTAGCAGTGTTTCTTTTACAGGATGGGGTTGCTAGCCTCATGCCCAACCTTTCTTCTTCACCAGCATTATTTCTGGCTTAATGATGTAAAGGAGTGCATCAGCCAGGGATCGAACCCCGGACCATGTGCATGGTCGGAGAGCGTCCTAACCGCTATTCCACTGATGGACATAATGTAACATGATCCCTAATTTTTTCTGTTGGTTTTCAAATTAACCCTTTTAGAAAGCTACCATTCTCAACTGAGAAGCCACAATTAAAGTTCATCGTTCTGAATCAGTGATGTGGAGCTCCGCCGGTCCCTTTCACAGTACTAACCAGAAAAATTAGGCGTTATTAGGAAGTAAAATAATCATGGCAGAACACTTGCAATTTTAAGAGGCCAGGTGGCCTGATATCTTTATAGACATATGGGACAAATTGAAAAGCAAGTGGAAAAAAGATACAGAACTCACACGAAAGTAGGTTTCTTTATTTCACCAACACCTTAATTCTCTCATGGTGAAATGCTACAAGAAATAAGAAACAAAGAATTCCGGCAGTAAGCCAGTAAACAAATTAATAACCATGAAATGTGCAGAGGGAAATTCGGATGAACTGAATGTACGCAGAGTAGACCTTAAAATAACGTTAGGCGCCAGGCCGTCTGGTAGAAAAGAAGGGAAATGCTATTTTAGGCACCAGAGGGTGGCAGAGTGTAGATACTGTGAAGATGAACTGAAAGTATATATGTAATCCTGAAGATTGCTCAAGAGAGCGCAAGAGGGGATAAGAGCGCCGATGTGCTTCTTAGGTGGGTTATTCCACCATGGACAAAGAAACGGACATATATACATATTTAAAATGAAAACAAGTGATTCAGCGATGAGTACTTTTTCAACGAATTTATTATCAAGATGTGCTATCCTGTATATACATTGTTTTTAAGAAATTATATGCAGTGAGGAAATCGAATCATCGGTGTGAATGCTTGAAATAAAAATAGTATGAAATCCAGTTACAATGTTATCGTTTCTAAATAAAAATGATTTGTATGACATAGATTTATGAACGTCAGACGTTTAATGAGTACGTCAGAGCGGTCACTAACAAAGAAACAGTCTATTAACTCTTAACTGTCTAACAGCTGTAAATTTATCGAATGTTTTCTGAAGGCTAAGAAGTGTGCCGGCCGGGGATCGAACCCCAGACCATGTGCATGGTCGCATGTGTCCTAACCGCTGCGCCACCAACGCGTGGTAAAGGTTACATTGATAAAATTTCATATTTACTTTCAGACAGCAGTAAATTCTTGAAACCAAAAGAGAGAAACAAAACGGAATTAAGTGAAATCAACTTATGGAAATTTTAAAAAGGACTGAGAATATTCATCTTATTCATGAAGAACTTTATGAAAGGATTACAGCAATAGGATTTTAATATGAGGACTCTATTGTCTACCAAAGATACACAAAGCTGGCATTCTACTCCGCCTTATCTTGGACATGTTCGGATCTCATACCATCCGACAGATAGATGGTCAGATGAAGTCTTCCAGAACGTCGGGGAACAACTATATTTTTGTTCACCACGTGATACCTTCCAATTTTTCGAATGTATACAGGATACACATGCTTCGAATAAACACATGTAATTTTGAGATGCAGAATCCGTATTTACGAAAGTTTCACTGATAGCAACCATATGCATTTTATGCAAATATATTGAAGATAACAAGTTGAATACCAAGATACCCACTACAGATTTGAAAGAACTACTTTTGAGATGTACACTGAATGTACAATTTACTTTCAATGAAACAGCCTACGGACAGAATGATGGTATAAGTATAGATTCGCCTTTGAGTTTTCTGCTTGCAGACTGTTTTCTGGCCAGTCCAGAAAATGGTCATTTGAAGCCAGCAATCCAATGTTTTTTAAAAATCAACAAAGTGTATATAGATGACACCTTTATTATTTGTAATAGTGACTATAATTTGAAGTTTATATTGAATTCATTTAATGGTTGCCATTCAGCGATAAAATTCACACTCGAAACGGAAAACGAGTCAAGAATTCATTTACTCGGTGTGAACTAATCAATGAGGACCTATGGAACTCTCAAAAGATGGATTTATAGGAAGCATTCACGGAATGGTCAACTGTTAAATTTCCACAGTTAGGTACCTATTGGTCGAAAACGGACTCTCATCCGGTTGCTTGACACTCGCACGTGGCACGTTTTTAGAACTGATACTGTGGAGGATGAGTTAAATCTTTTGAGGAAAATCCTAATTTTCAAGTGTTGGTTTTGTAG